ACAGCTGTATCAACCCGGTGCTCTATGCTGTCATGAACCGACAGTTTCGACAAGCCTACCATGTGCTGCTCACCAGGGCCGCTGCACCCTTCACCTGCCTCTGGACCTGGTGGCAGACTCTGAGATCCTGATTTCCTGCTACTTAAACTTCTAGTATATTTCTCCTGATATGGCCTGAAATGATTTTCCTGTTTGCATTCAGTCACTTTCAACTTTAAAGTTTGTTTGTTTTTTCTTCTGTACAGTTAATCTAGTTTATGTTACATTACCAACATTTTACCTACATTTCATCACAAATTTTTTTTTTTTTTTCACATTTAAATTTACATTTTGCAGCTCTTTGCTTTTATGTATGTACTCTGCCTCCAAGATTACATGTGTTTATGTGTTTATGCAATAAATTCTATTTTGTAATATATCTTCCTCGGTTGCATTCATAATTATGAGGAACAACCAGCCGACACTTCGTCGTCATTTGAAGTTTTAAAAGTGTTACATCATATGAAAAACCACCAATGTTACAAAGAACAGAATACTGTGTCTGACACAACAGGTCTCGTTTTAGTCTTGGGAAACTATGACTGACTCTGCCCTGTGCCTGAACTGTGGAATGCCTCCACTGATAGTGCATGACTAATTAAAAAGAGGCTTCAGGTTATCTGGCCTTCAGTGGGAGGAGTGTGCTTGTGGATGCATGTTTGAGTTGTGTTGAGGCAGTTATGTACTGAAAGTCAAGGCCATGATACTCAGAAAAAGGTATTGGTTCTTCAGTGGAATAAGAAATGGTGTAAACTCTGCTTAGTCATTCTGCTCTTAAAGATTAGTCAGTTTGAACTGGAGCTGAACACTTTGAATAACGGATTCGTCTGTGATTAGATTTGACAATCACTGCAGTCATTCAGTATATATTGTATGTAAAGCTAAAATTCTAATGTAAGGATAGTCTGTTGATGTGACTGTTGATTGGGAAACATCTGACATCTGCAGGCTTCCCCTACAGACCAGAGGGTAAGGATAATTATCAGTACATCATCGTAATGTGTGATGTGCTAGTGATGAATATAGTTCCTCGTTAGTGATCCCTCTATGAGCAGTCAGCAAGATTAGAGCTGTCCGTTCCAAAACCTGAAAATAAAGGCTCAGAGAGAAGCACAACACAGTGTAACAACACCTACAGTTGAAAACAGAAGTTTACATACACTGTACTTTGTTTCTCACTGTCTGGCATTAAATGTGACTAAACTTTTAGGTTGTTTTAGGTAAGCTAGGATTACCAAAATTATTTGTATTTGCTAAATGCCAGAATAAAGATGTTTTTAGATATTTTTTTTATTGCTGTCTTCAAAGTCAGAAGTTTACATACACTAAGATTACTATGCCTTCTAGTGTGAATGTGTATGAATGGATTGTTTGAGGTGGTGTCTGAAGGGGCAGTAGGCAGCCACACCTCTGTCAGTCTGCCCCAGGGCAGCTGTGGCTACAATCATAGTTACCACCACCGGAATGAATGTGTGTGAATGAATAATTGACAGTGTTAAGCGACTTTGAGTGCCTAGAGAAGCGGTATATAAATCTGATCAATTGTTATAATTCTAATTATTCAAACTATTTGCTGAAGCTCAGATGATGATGTCACGGCTTTGGAAGCTTTTGATAGGTTCATTGAGAACATCTGAGTTCATTGGAGGCACACCTGTGGATGTATTTTAAGGCACACCTCAAACACACTGCTTCCTTTTGTGGCAACATGTAGAAAATCTAAAGAAATCAGCCAAGATGTCAGGATTGTGGACCTCCACAAGTCTGGTTCATCCTTGGGTATAATTTCCAGATGCCTGAAGGTTTCCATGTTCATCTGTTCAAACATTATATGCAAGTATAAACACCATGGGAATGTCCAGCCATCATACCGCTCAGGAAGGAGATGGGTTCTGTGTCACAGAGATGAAGTGTTTTGGTTTGAAATGTGTGTATCAACCCCAGAACAAAAACAAAAGACTTTGTGAAGATGCTGCTGAAGCTGGTAACAGAGTGTCATTATCCACAGTGAAACAGGTCCTGTACCGACATGGGCTGAAAGGCTCCTCAGAGAGGAAGAAGACATTACTCCAAAAGAAACATAAAAAAGTCAGGTTACAGTTTGCAAATGCACACAGGGAGAAAGACTTTAATTTTTGAAGACATGTCCTGTGAACTATAATTTAACTGTTCAGCCATAATGACCATCGTGACATTTGGAGGAAAAAGGGGGAAACTTGCAAGCCTGAGAACACCATCCCAACTGTGAAGTATGGGGGTGGCAGCATCATGTTGTGGGGGTGTTTTGCTGCAGGAGGGATTGGTGCACTTCACAAAATAGATGGAATCATGAGGAAAGAACATTATGTGGAAATATTGAAGCAACATCTCAAGACATCAGCCAGGAAGTTAAAGCTTGGCCGCAAATGGGTCTTCAAATGGACAACGACTCTAAGTATACCACCAAATTAGTAACTAAGTGGCTTCAGGACAACAAAGTCAGTGTTTTGCAGCGGCCATCACAAAGCCCTAATCCAATCCTGTAGAAAATGTGTAGGCAGAGCTAAAAAGGCCTGTGGAGCAAGGTGGACAACAAACATGACACAGTTCCACCAGTTCTGTCAGGAAGAATGGGCTGAAAAACCAGTAAGCTATTGTAAGAAGCTTGTGGAAGGAAACCCAAAACATTTGACCCAAGTCATACAGTTTAAAGGCAATGCTACCAAATACTAAGAAAATGTGTGTAAACTTCTGACTTTGACGAAAGAAAAATCTCTCTCTCATTATTCTGCCATGTAGCAAATAGAAATATTTTTGTAATCTTAGCTGACCTAAAACAGAACAATTTAGTCTGATTTAAGGACAGACAGCGAGAAAAAAATGGCTATGTGTCTATTTATAGAGTGTATGTAAACTTCTGGTTTCAACAGTAAAAAAAAAAAAAAATTCACTCAGGTAACAGGACACGTAAAAAGGAAGACAGTACACAATAGTACTTCCGTGGTACCTGCCACATGTCAGTAAAGTGGACATGCAACATCTTGCTGCTGCAGAGGGAGCAGTACCAGGAGAATCGTGGGCTCAACTGAAAGCATTTTTCTCTTGAATCATGGATATTTAGGGGCATGTAGAGCAAACAGGTAGCTAAGAGGGTTTCAGGCACCAACCATGAATCTGAGCAGGACATGAGTCCAGTCAGGTACCCTTGAGGAGCCGATCCCAGCCGACTCAGGGTGAAGGCAGGGGACACCCTGGACAGGTCGCCAGACTATCACAGGGTTACACTTAGAGACAGACAACCAAGCACACTCACATTCACACCTACGGACAATTTAGAATCACCAATTAACCTCAACATGTTTTTGGACTGTGGGAGGAAGCCGGAGAACCTGGAGAGAACCCAAGCGGAGATCATGCAAACTCCATGCAGAAAGATTGCAGGCGTCCAAATTGGGATTCAAACCAGGGATCTGAGAGATGGTGCTAACCACTCAACCACCTTGCAGCCCTCTAAACAAACAAGTGACACCTAAAACTAAACTTGTTGAGCCTAAATGCTAACAAAAAAATCAAAGTTTTCAGTGGTCAGATCAGTTGGTTTTAAAGGTGTTTCTGTCACGAACTTAACTGGTGGTAAAGAAATTTTAACATTAATGTGGAGCTTGTAGATCTCCAAAGTGAGGTTCTGTCCTAACCTTTGATTCAAATTTCATGAGAATCAATCCAAACTGCATTGTGATCTTCACCATTGACCAGACAGCTAACCACTGTTTAATATTTCCATCATTACAGCCACACTACTTGATCTGCTAAAAACAAACGGAAACAATTACACTGTCAGTTTCCTATCATGTGAAATTGGTGATATATTAATGAAAAATATAAATGACATATTACTGCCCCACAGGGAGATGAATAATAAATATCAGTTCAGAGAAACAAGAGTTGGTTTCGGGGTCACCTGGAAAGAAGTATATACTTCACACTCCACACCTTTTTTTGTTCTTCTGACAGCAAATCATTAATTTCTTTAACTAGCCAGTCAACTACTAACTTGGGGTGCTTCATGCTTCCTGATTGGCAGCATCTGTTTGCTGAAAACCCAACCCTAATGTGTAGTACATAAAGCAACACAACGAAGCATAAAATCTCTGCAGGGCAGCACAAGTTGACTTTTATTTCCATTTAAAATGTTTGATTATTTTAAGTTTAGAGCTGGAGTCGAAAATAGGCTGACTGTGTTAAGTTACTTTGATCAAGATCTGAAAACAACTTCCCACCTCATTATCACAAATTTCACTAATAAACAGAACACACAATCGGTCAGTTCCCTTTTATTGGTGGTAGCGTTTAACTTTCATTTAAATGAGCAGGTTCATATAAAAGCATATAACTTAAACAAAAGAAGTGCCATGTTGTAGTACAATTAATCACAGGTTGAAGGTGGTAAAAACGAAGGGTTCACAACAAATAATAAAACATTGAATTAAGTACAGTTCACACAATGCACTTAACACCTCACATGAAGCTTTCCTGGCAGATTACATAGTGAGTTTTACTTTAAATGCCTGATCTTAAAATAACAGGGTCCTAAATTACAAAACGTGGAGCAGATGAGTCCAGCTCATTTAATTATCTCATATTTATGCCTTCAAATAACACTACCAATAATCACATCATGAAAAGGGATTGTATTAATGATATTATTTAAAGGTGCATGCCAACCTGAAAGTGCTGATTGATACATTTTTCTTGAAATTTTATCATAATTATCAGATGGGATGTAAAGTATTTCACATGAAACAGAATTAAAAGCAAACTACTGTGTTAAGGAAGGATCTGCTATGTACACAATAACTTTTTGACATGGAATGCTGTGCTGATATGAGTTCAGTTGACAATGAGTAGTACGCAGTAGTTCGGATAGATAAACACAGACGCCTACTGGAAAATGCTTCCACAGGCCTGTGGAGAGAGGGTATTGAATCCTGGAAGACTGAATTCATGCAGCCCTGGTGGCAGACCATTAAATCCTTGAACATTCAAATCATTGAGCATTGGCTCATCTTCCAAGAAGTCAGGCAAGAGGTTGGGGTTGTTGAGATCTATCAGTAAATCCTGCTCTTGGGGTCCAACACAGCTATTCAGCATTGGATCCGGGTGGTAAGGTTCCAGAGGTAAGTTCAGAGGATGAGGATCTCCATTTTGTTCTAAAAGCAGAAAAAGCAACAACAGAGAGATGCTATCACAACTGTGTTATGAATTTATGGTAGTGCTTTAACTGGAGAAATGACAGTAACAAAAACATGATGTGCTTCTTCAGTCTTTTCAGTTCTTTTAATAGCTCAGTTAAAACTGCACTAAAGCTGAAGTACTTCCTTTTCAGTTCTGAAAAGAAAACTTTGACATTTTGGGAAATTAGTCTGTATCAATTGCTCTATGGCAGAGAATTAGATGAGAACATTAAATTCTACTTCCTTGTTACCTTTTGCAAATGAGACCACACTTAGCAGCCGTTCAGCTGAACTTACCATGAAGAGTGGAAACACGGGCAAACAGCTAGGCTAACTCTGTGAAATGATCAAATAAAATCTGCCAAAATGTACCTTAAAAGCTCAATAATTAATATGTTTACAACTAACTCAGTCATTACTCACGACCAACCCATAAATCTCCATGAAACAGCAAACTGTTGCTTTTACAGTTCGGTTTTTGTATGCATTTAACAAATGAATTACAATTAATTATTGAGTTTTAGAGGACAGATCATTTCCCAAATTTGATTTCCAGTGGACCACAATGTAGTCACAGTAGTATTAAATACTGATACTACAACAATTAATCCCACTAATAGCAATAAAAATAATAACAATAATAATATTAATATTAACTAAATTTTCTTTGATTTCCATTAATGATCATTGGTGCTTTGTTTTCATTTACAGTTTTCTAAATCAGTTCTGCAGACACACCATGCAGTGTCAAAGCGTAAAGGCCTCAGAAAGAGCAATCAAAATCCTGTAAAAAATAAACATGTGTTAGTAACCCAAACACTTCCACACTTATTTGATTTTAGGTTTAGTACAGCAGCCTGCGGTACGCGTGCAAGCAGCAGAAGCAGCCAACATTCCCATCAGACTTAAGTTCACTGATAATGTAGTTGTCTCCTGACATCTACTGTATTTAGCATGTTCCCACTGACTTCATGCACCACAAAGGCCCAAAGAGAGAGACGGTGGCAGAGCTTTTTGATGAAGGGAGAGCAATTTGTTTCACGATTTTTTAACTGGATTGGACAGCAAGGAGAGCCATGACTCACCAGCTGCCTCTCCACACAGGCCATTGACTGGCTCCAGGCCTTCACCCTGTGCCATGTCAGAGGACATGGGTGACATAGCCTCCAGTGTGTTCCTACATGACCAATGACAAACAGCCATTACAACCAGTTGCTCATGACATAAAAAAGGGTGTGGGTATACTACTTCTTTGATGAAGTGTATTTTAAGGTTGTTGAATTTAAAGGGCAGACTTTGTTTTAATTCACACAAGCCAGACACTGTAAACCAGCCTAAATGAACATGAGAAACATACTTACTCCTTTGAAACAAACACCAGCTTGGTTTTGATGTACTTTATGTAAGGACTGTCATCTGAAAGAGAAGAAGGCTATATTATGTAGTCACACAATCTATACAATGAAATTGTATTAATAACACGGAAAAGGAAAAACACAATGTAAATAACATTACCAGAGAAGCTGAGTTGTGTTTGAGGGAAGATTTCTTTTCTATAAAATATTTTGGTGGCAAGAAAAATGTATGTACAATATCATATGGTGTCTTTACCTCCTGTCTTATCAGTGTAATATTTTCCAAAAGCCTGGTCTTTCGGGGTGTCGGGATACAGGTAGAGCAGAGGATTTTCAGGGACATTATCAGCTTCTAAGAGCTGAAAGTTCCGGATGATTTCATGGAAGGGGATCTGGGAGAGGTCCTCTTTGGTGAAGGGCTGGACTGTCTTCACATCAGGCACCCCTAAAACAGGCAGTGGCAGAGGCACAGAAAAAGTGAGTCAGACTCATTTGACAGGAAGCTTGTTTGTATTTCTGTCTCCCTTGCAACAATTTTAGACTAAAATAAATCATTAGAAAATCTCACCAGTTAGGATTGTCTCCACCCAGGAGAAGGTGATTCCTCCGATGACACTTTCACTGAAGCGCAACAAGAAGGTGCCTCTCTTTTTTTTCTTCAGCAGGGATTTCTCTTTGCCTTTGGTCACAAAGCCCATGATGAGGCTGAAGCACAGATATAAAGTTTTACTCAAACAAGAAACTTCTCCCATTTTAAGGGAATTAAAGGCATGAGCTAAACTAAGGCCTGTGTTTTATGCATTAGTAACACATCGGTGTTAGCACTTTGAAATGGCGGGACTTTTTTTTTTCAAAACTGATGAAGCTAAAACTTATTGACAACTTCTGAGATCATGATCAAAGAAAGGAATAATTATATTTTACAACAGGAGAGTTGATGTAAGTCAGATTTTGAATTAGAACATGCAAAATTACTATGAACTAGCATTTTAACAATTTAATTTACGTAATGCGTAGTTATCTATACGTACTATATACATAAAATTAAATAATGTACAGTAAAAAGAAACCATGTCAAATTTAGTTTGAGATAAAGTGACTCAGTGATAACATGCCAAAGGAGACCATTTTGTCGCTTGAATATTAGAAATCACTGCCTGATTACTTGCATGCTTCAATAAGCTGAAAATCCAGCTGGACCCTACTCTGTATAAAACCTGGATTTGTTTCATACCCTTCCTTCCACAGGTCTGCCAAGTATGTTTTCACCATCATCAAAATGCCATCAAACCACACCCAGAAAGTCTCAGGAGCATTTTCCTATATCAGAATAGGTCAAAAAAAAAAAGACATAAGTACACACCTCCTGTATTCATTATCAATAAACAAACAAGACCAAGAATCTACAGCCACACTTAGCACCTCAGCAAAGGCTGCAATGATTACTGTAAAAAAAAAAAAAAATCAAAATGTAAGATGGCTAAAAGATGAGCAGTACAGATGTTTTTGATGTGAGATATTTTGTGACCAGTGTTTAGGATTAAGGTTAATCCCTCGAGCCATGCTGAAAACATGCTCTAGGGTCCAGTCAGCGTGCTTACCTTGCTAAATTTTGACCACGCTACTTTGCAGGTGTCATAGTTGGATTGCCTCCCTGGCAGAAAAAAAAAAAAAAAGTTGCATTATAAAAGTCCCACTCAATGACACTATCTGTGATAAAAAAAAATAATAATTAAGTGCTCAGAAACCATGAAGAACACTTAATTATGCTGTGCAAATGCTGTAATATTCTGGGAAATCAATATGAACTGAAGCAAGTCCTGCTGGCTAAGTCTTTGTAATTCAAATATTGTATATAAATTAAACAGCTGTGTGAGAAGTCAGGGTCCAGTCACACATTTTAGCATTTAGTTTTACATTAATGTGTTTTCCTTCACGTCTCGTTTTTGCTCTAAGAAATTTAAAAAATAGTGAATTAAGAAATCTTCAGTAAAGGAGAAGATTGCAGAAGAATACCAGTATATTACATTCCCCACTGCTTAGAGATGGGCACAACATCTACTGTCTATCAGCCTTACTCTCATAAGAAACTGGATAAATTAAACAGCAAACGCCCACCGAGTGTTGCAGAAATTATTTGGATTAATCAGTGACAGATGTATAGGCCAAACCTGCAGTACAGTTCAAAGTTTGTTACCATGTTTGCAGTGATTCGCAGTGCCGTTATCTTTAACCTCCTAAGACCCAAGCTCTTGTTTGATATGCATTTTTTATTTCTCTTTGCTATTTGGGCTTATTGGAACCTGATTAGTATAAAAAACTAAATATCATCATAGATGGTAGTGTAAGTGTCCACACACATGGCCATAAGGCCCCAGTTAAGCAGAATTAACTACTGTGGTAATATAACCCAAAATGTGATGTCCACGCATGTGGATGGAAGGTCTTAAGAGGTTAAATGGAATCGCAAGACGCATTTTGTAACTTGCTAGACCAAGGTCATTCTTGATATCATCTTTGACTCATACGAATGAATTCAGCCTCATTATAAACCAAAAAGCTAAGCAGACAAGCAGCTAGAGCAGAACATGTTAAAAGGGTTTACCAAAGAGCCTGTGTGCAATCATTTCCAGCTGAGCAGCATTCAGACCGAGTTTGGTGGCAAACAGAAACTGCCAGCTCAACATCTCTCCAAACTGTGGCCAAGGGGCTGCAGGACAGCTGGCAAAAAATATGACATCCTGGAAAAACAAAATATATATTAACAAAAACATACAACAACAAAAAATAGAAAACACCTTTCTGATGGCTTGTAACTTGTATTACATGACAAGACGACTGCAAAAATTCTCTGTAGCATGTGTGTTATGTGATGTCTTACCTTGGGATCCTGACTGAGCATGTTGAACCAGAGGATAGACGCCCAGGCGCTCTGCTGCTGGCTGGAGTTGGAAATGATGACCACAGGGAGGGAGCAGGTCTGAAAAACATATTAGGGATTAATATTTATATCGAACCGATTACATTGTCTATAAAGTCAGCCATGCAGTATGAAATGAGGTTGTAGAGACTCACCTGCAACTCAACTGACAATCCTTTCAGGTCAAATACAGTGTTGAAGTAGATGAGGTGCAGCTCCTCTGTAACACTCAAGGAAATCTGAGAACATCAAACACGCATCATCATTCAAATGTTAAACATCTTGTTGAATTCTAAAGATAATCCATGAGCTGGGATGGCATCTTCACGGTTGCCAAAGCCAACTCACATCACTGACTCCTTTGCCGCCACCTCCAGACTTTTGTTCTTTCAGAGTCTGCAGAGAAATAGTAGAATCCAGAATTACTCATAAAATACTCTTAATATAATAATAAAACCATAATATTATCAACTGACAATAGAGGATGATTATTAATATTTTAAACGGTTGATTTATTTTATATGTGTACTTGACAATATAAACAGTAAAATATACAACAGGATTTATCCTTCGAGTTAGATGTCCAAATTGTATGAAAGGTTTTATTTCTCATCGTTTCTGCCACTAACGATTTTTTTCTTTTAAAGTCATTATCACTCACCAGATGTCTGAAGTCTGCCACCATGCCTCCACTCTGGCTCTCAGCCATGTTCAGGTTCTTGCTTTTGGTACCCAAGACGTTAAAACGGCGATAACTGCAAACACATTATTATCAGTTAAAAACAAATTCACATCAGATGTAAGTTTCAACACAGCTCTTCTGGAAATATTGCCGAAAATATAGAAACGAATGTTATTTTAAAAAAGTACTCACCCTTTGATCTGTGGAGGCTCCCTAATTTCAAGGGTGAGAAAAACAAAGCAGTGATCACAGGGGGGAAATAAAACGTCATCCGCTATTGTTTGAAGTGAAGGTCTAAAGGCTATGTTGCAAAGGAAAAAGGTCTAAATGACAATTCTTACCTGTCCATGGACACGTCCACTTTCATGGAGTGGTTCAGCTCAGGAAACTTGACAAGGAGTCTGAAAATATTAAAGAAGGTGCAAGATATTCAAACTTTGGCAAGAAGCTGTAAAATGCGAAAAGAAAAAAAAAAAAACAGGAAACCAGCAACTCTCAAGGTTACAGCAGGAAACCAAACTGAGAGATTAATGTTACATTTGGGGAAAGGAGAAGAGAGGGCTTTTCAGAGGTGCATTAAACTGTCATCATTCTCCTTTTTATTCTTGTATCATCTCAGAATTGCGGCAATGTCCATGTGGTGAACAACAGTCAACTTGGACAAGCAGACTGCAGTTCACCACATTAATTTTGCTTGATTAGGCTAGTTTAGCTTTATTACAATTGCACTCTTTCAAATATCTTAGTTGCTTTTTGCCAGTGATCTCACCTTCACTATTGTCAGAATTACCACTGAATATTTTACTATAAAATTTAACATTGATTAACCCATTGTAATCAGTGCCATCCATCCATCCATCCATCCATCCATTTTCTCCCGCTTATCCGGAGTCCGGTCGCGGAGGCAGCAGTCTTAGCAAAGCCGCCCAGACTTCCCGATCCGCACACACCTCCCCCAGCTCTTCCGGGGGGACCCCTAGGCGTTCCCAGGCCAGCTGGGAGACAGAGTCCCTCCAGCGTGTCCTGGGTCTTCCCCGAGGTCTCCTCCCGGTGGGACGCGCCTGGAACACCTCCCCAGGGAGGCGTCCAGGAGGCATCCGGAAAAGATGCCTGAGCCACCTCAACTGGCTCCTTTTTTTTGTAATCAGTGCATCGGTCAGAATTTACCTCCCAAAAGTCCCCACAGAACACATTAAGATTATGTGACAAGCAACTGCGACACTGACCTGGTTTTGACAGAGAATTGAACGTTTGTTCGGAGAACCAAGGGTCCTTTGCCCTGCGGCATGGATGGCTGAGTCTCAACCACAAAGGCACTTTGGGGAACAATGAAACAATATGTCAGTAAATTATGCAAAAAAATCATGAAAGAGTGAAAGAGCATTACCAACTATGTCCTAAAAGAGAGACCTCTTGAGCAATTCTTTGAGAAGAGCATCTGTTCTCTTCTGCAGTGCAGGTCTTTGGGCCTTCACAGGATCATCTGCATAGGACACTTTTCCTACCAGCTCTTCCAGCTTACTAAGAAACTCACGGACCTGGAACAGACCCTCTGCCACAGAGGTGAACCTGCAAAACATGAGGAAAAGAGCAGATGTACATATGTTCACACGGGTCACTGAAAATGGAAAAAGGGGTTGTGAAAACACCATCAACAGAACTTGTGATAATAGAATCAGGGAAGTCTCAAATTTCAGCTGTAACAGTTTCACAATTTCACTCCTGACTTAATGGTTCTATCAAATTAAAATAATGACTGCAGGTTTATCTACAGTCTAGCAATTAATTTACAGACCAATTTGTGAACACCAAGTATGAAAGCTGATGTGGGGCAAGTGGAGATGAACATACCACTTCTCAAGCTGATCTAGGCAAACATTGTCTGGCGCCCCAATGCAGGCTTTCTGCTGCCTCCTCTGCCACTCAACCAGCTCCTTCTTCACCAACAGGTTGATGAGATCCTCAGTCCAATCCAGGATCTTATTTAGGTTTGACAGTATGCTCTAAGAAGTGATTACATGAGACAAAAAATATTAATTAATTAATACATACATACATACATACATACATACATACATACATACATACATACATACATAAAAATGGTGAAAAAAAACAGAAGTGACAAAGGTGGGTATTTAATAGTATTAATGACTCCATACCTTTCTACATTCATTGAGTCTGTTGACAAGGAGCTGAAGAACTTTAATTTGTTCTTTCTTCAAGGCCTCGTCAACCACAGCTGCACCACAGTTTTCAAAGTTAGAAGACAGTTTTCATATAAACCAGACCACAAGAAACAAGAACATGCAGCTATGATTCAGACCACTTAACTGCTCATTATTAAAGAACATTCAAATAAAACCAGAACTTTTAAATCTGCTTACCTTCCATCTTGTGGGTTTGGAATTTAAAGTCAAACTCATCTTGCTGCTCTTCCAGACATACTATGGAATGTTCCATACACTGTGGGCAAAAAAGTACAGAGAAACAAAATGAATGACTGAACTGTGTTGTGTTTTATCTACAAAGACCAGCATGATAACACATAGCAATATAATCTGCACCTGTACTTCATTCCTGAGGCCGGCCATTTTACGTTCAAGGTCCTGCTGACTGTCCGTCTCCATGGCTTCCTGCGCTACTTGCAAATGCTTGACCTGAGACAAAGCAAAACAGAAGGCGGAGCAGATATAAAGGTATCTTTCTTCTTCCAGATGTGATAGGGGGTGATATTGTTACTCACAGAGTGAAACTGTCAGTTAAAAGAGTATATCTGCTTGAAGGAAAATCTTCACTTTTTAGCCCACACATTGAGTCATGTAGTTTATATTCAGTGCATGTGGCTCTTTCTGAATGACGGCAAATGAATACAGACAAAATTGTGTAATATTCCCAAGTGACACAAAAAAAAACTTTTTCAATATTTATAAATTAAGTAGAGCATAGACAGGCAGAATTTTTTTAAAAACAAAAAAAGACCAAAAAAACAATATTAATAGAGTATTTGCCTGGAAATATACTAGATGTCAAAGTCTTTCCATGTGTACAAGATGTTAATGCATCTTCTTCATCGATGTGTGTATTTTTCTCTTGTGCATGCTGTTTTCATTAAAAAACTGTATGAGCAGCAGACTGACTCCTATTTAATGCATAGGGCATGTCAAATAAACTGCTCAAAAAAATCAAGAGAACACTTAATCATCACAGTATAACATCAATTCAACTAAACTTCTGGGATAATGATCTGTTTAGTAAGGAAGTGTAAGGGATTGCGAGTCCTCCCCTCAGCAGGTTAATCATTTTGTTTTCCACTGTCCAATCACTGAAATACGGTGTACAATTTATTGAGAACAAAATGATGTAAGAATGAAGTGTTGCCTTTCATTTTTTGAGCAGTGTAGATAATGAGGTGTGACTCCAACCTGTTCAGCCAGGTCAGCACTACCAAGGATTTCCTTCTCTTTTTCCAAAAACCAAAGGATTGTCGTTGCCAAAGAACATGGTTCATCCAGATACCGCTGTCGGGAAGAGAGGTCACATGAAAAAATAATTACAGACTCAACCAACCTAACAAGGGCAAAAATAGTTGTAATGTTTGCAAACTGCTCTATAAATATAGTTAATATCTTGATTTGTTTATAATACAAGCCACCATACAGACGTGTGTACAGGAAATTTACAATCTTTTCCTTGACTTATGCAAATTGCAAGTAGCAATGAAATGCAAATCATTGTAAAGAGAGCTGGTCAGGACTATTATGGTCCTAGTATTTATAGTGGAAGTTTTCAATTTAAAACAAAAATGTCACTCAGTTTTTTTGTTTGTTTAGCAAACCTGAAAGTTCTGTTTGTAGCGTCGAATGTTGTGCTGCAGTAAGAATGACTCCTCCTGGACAAAGCGGCTGTGTTGGATATCCAGATTCTCCAGCAGAACCTGGAATAGCACTACAGCAAAGTCATAGTCCCGTGCTGCTCGTTGCCTGAGGTGCAAAAACAAGATACAGGCAGCATACTTTATAAACAAGCTAATGCTCAGTAACTATTGAATGATGTGGCTTGAAAGGTGTCAGACACAGTGCTGCTGCCTTACCACTCCTGCTTTTCTATCCAGGCTGACAGGTAGTGCCGGACATCCATAGGCAGACCATCCCTGTCATAGAGCTCATGTAGCTGCTGTATGTACACAGGAGGAAGCTGCCTCAGTCGGTCCCATTGTGCCATGCTGGGTTCAATCAGACAAACAGCCAGCACTCATATTACACTCATGATACTGACATCCACTTAACAGCAGTTTATATGTATGTACACAGAGTGCTAAACTATCATCCACAAATCACTGCACTCAAAAAGAATGCCATTAAAATTCAATGTGGCGTTTTCATACAAGTCTGTAATCGACAGCCGAGGAAACAAAGTGCGAACTTGTGACTGCTAACTCTGTACATACTGCACAGCAGGTAATGGCTGCAAGTTTTTATACGCTACTGAGTTCGATCAGGCGCTAAAACACTCAAACAATGCATCTGGTTTGTCCAAAGTAATTGCGATGTCCACGTCAAATCAACAATCAAATAAAATAAATAAAAGTTTATTTACAGGTAGGCTAGCTGTTGGAACATTTGTCAACACCACGGACATGGCTAGACCCATCAGTAATAACGCATTTACTCACCTTATATTAAGTTGTCAGTTCGAATCCACTTTAAAAATATATTGTAAGCTAACAGCTCAATAGAGACAGGCGCATAGCTAGCTCGCCTCTCTCACGTTACGAAGAAGCAACGACTGCTGCCAATTGTTGGTAAAACAAAACAAGCGACCAGCGAAGGCGTGTTTATGTTATTTCCTTTTTGCCCCACTGTTTCTTTGGATATCTATTTATCCCTCCTAAGTGGGTCTCGACGGCTAACTGCAGGCGCCATTTTGGCTCTACAGCCACTGCCGTCCAAGCAGTTAAAGAGTCGAAATGTCGACACAGGTCATACAGTTTCTTCAAGACTTCAGCGCTAACAGCCGATTGGACGATCTGTGCTCAAGTCCGCACAGTCTATTAGTTAATGTTTCTGTCAATCAATGCAGAGTGGGCGTGGAGAGCAAAATAGAAACTTACGGCGAAGCTGCTGTGAAAATTTCCAAGAAATGACGTTGTGAAAGTGACAAACCCATAAACCAAAAGGGAGCATGTGACTCACTGGTAGCCGCAGAACCAGCCAGCGGATCTCCGATAATATGATAATCTTCTTTGCAGGTACGAAGAGAAGCCGTGCATCTAATTAAGTGTTGCACTTAGGTACGATTTTGAGTTACTTGTACTTCATGTGAACATCTCCACGTCTGCTTTGCTAATTTAAATCACTTAAAATTAAAATGAGATATAGTACTTTACCTTAGGAAAATTCTGAATGCGTGACTTTTATAAATAAAGAATTAGAGTATTTCTTCCAACACTGCTTCTCAAAATAACAAAAGATACTTTAAAAATTCTGTATTTTCCCAAAAAACCCATTATCTCTTTAATCACAGCAATTCGTAGTTGCAAGAAATTATACACAGAAACGTAATTACGCACATTACATTACGTTTTTACAAATAAATCTCCATATTTTCTGAATACTGGTCCTTTAAAATTACATGTTAGGGCGATATTAAGTTTAGATGCCTACAATGGAATGAAATGTTCCCAAGCAGGAAGTCTTTGCTGCATCTCTCTCTTTCTCAGTTTCCTATTATCTTTCTACTGTAACTATCTAATAGTTGTAATGGCATCTAATGTCAAAATAATAATAAAAGCAAAAAACAAAGAACATTAATTTTAGATGATGGTTTAGGTCCTGCTAAAAAAAAAAAAGAGAGAGAGAGAGAGCGAGAGATATTTTACTGAGACAAAAGAAACAAGTTTTCTTATATAGTTACAATTAATTTAGAACAATAGTATATTGTAGCAAATTATTTATAAGTGTAGCCTTTATTTTAAGTATCCCGTTTTGGAAAGTATCAGTTGCAAGTCTGCATGCACTGACTTAGCCTAACATATAATTAAATGTTAAAATACTTTTTTTTTTTCTGGAGATGTGCAGACGTTACTAAATTAAATGTAAAATTAGGCTGAGCATTGTGAAAATCTTAATATACAAAATAATTATGTGGTAGTGCAAAAGTGGACATTTCCTTTAGAAACGTAATGCGAGAAAAACATGAAGAAGCACATGATCAAGTGACAAAAATCTGTAATTTGATAAATAATTTGTAAGTATTTGTTATAATAGTAATTTGCTACTTTTGCAATATTTTGTGTCAATTTGTGTAAACAGTTGGTTGTCTCCTGGGAGCACATAGACTAGGATAAAACAGTGGTCTGGTTGTATTATCTTTTCCACCCTTTGACCCTTTGTGGATGTTGTTAACATTAATTTTGTTCATTTCCTCAGTTTCCACTTTCACCAGTAGATGTCATACTTGACACAATGCAGAATTGACGATTCCAGTTTGGATTTTGGTAAAATGAAAATGAACCAAGCAGTGTATCCTTTAATGTGCTCCTATGATTCCACAACAATAATCTTGGTTACTATCTTCCCAGCACATTTAGAGAGCGAATGTGATGTCTGATATTGTATATTTTATTGGCAGCTACTAACTGTTCATTCGTCAAGCTGACAAATTTACTGAGAAATTGCAAGTTATAGACTTGAATTGAGAAATACAGATTTATCAATTTGGTAAACATTTGCAGAGCACAAAGTACACAGGACAGCACAGCTCACATGCTATTAATCCGTAAATGGCCCAACTCTGTTTGTTGTGATCACCCAGACTTTTGACAAACTTCTTGCTAATGCTCTGTAAGGTCATCTGTCCATATCAGATTATTTTGTTCAGGTTGTACAAGTGTGAATTAGATGAGAAAAAGTGTCACTCTTGACAGTTCACTGGTCTGTCACAGTGCCAGCACACAGAGAGACAAAGAAATTAGTTCACATAACTTGCATGTCTTGGCTTGCATGCAATACACTGAGGAGTAGAAACTACATCTAAAGGGAGAATGTGCGAATTCAACAGCTGTCTCAGCCAGCTGGGTTTAAATAGGCCTCAGATAGAGATTCAAACAGGCAAAGACGATGTGATGGCTTTGTTATCACCATAACAGTGTGTCAGCGTGCAGAATACCAAGAGCCTTAAACTAAAGCAGATGAATACAACTCAGCCATCCTTCGCATTTCCTACTGGGAGATGAAAAGGTCTTTGGTGAAAAAGGACTCTCTAGGCCTACAGCATATTCTTTATTTGAGTCATAATGCTATTCAATAGTAAAACAGTAAAAGATAAAATGTTAGAAGTTACATATGAATATGCAAAACTTACACTGGACTTATCATGAATATCAAGTATCCTAACTTGTAATCTGCTCTCTTTCTCCATAGATGCCACAACATCCTACAAAAAAGTGAAGCCAACACAGAGGTGCCTTAAACCTGCATTCTTTCCAACAGCCAGCAGGAGGTGACACCTCTGGCTGCAAGAAGAAGTCAGATTGTATTGAGGTCTCTGAGAAAATGACCCTACTTCTCACCTGATCTCTAGCCTCACTATCAGTTTCCTAATGACTCTGTGGTCTCAGTTGCTAATTTTACATCTTTGTCAATACAGCATGATGTTCATTTTGTAAATTATGGTCCCATTTGGATTAAAATAGACAATAAACCAGGCAGGGATACCTTGTGACTGACAGGTCACTCCTGGATTAGTACATGTAGCATGTCACATCCACCGCACACTACATCCAGTTTCATATGAGTAAGATGGCGACTTGTAAATGCCAAACTTGGGCTTCAAAACAGTCATCTGTAGACCATTGGAAGGTCACTACATCCACCTGTATACAGTCTAAAGTGGCTTTCACACAGGATGCAGTAAGTACTGAACTTGCC